TACAGACTGAGCAGCTGTGTGGTTTTTTTCCTGTGTGGACTCTCATGTGGTCCTTTAAATGTCCACTCTGTGAATAAGCTTTCTTACAGACTGAGCAGCTGAATGGTTTCTCTCCTGTGTGGACTCTCATGTGTGTCTTTAAACTTCCACTCTGTGAAAAAGCTTTCTTACAGACTGAGCAGCTGTGTGGTTTCTCTCCTGTGTGGACTCTCATGTGGTGCTTTAAACTTCCATTCTGTGAAAAAGCTTTTTTACAGACTGAGCAGCTGAATGGTTTATGTTCAGCACTACGTCGTGGATCACTGACAGATTCATGTCTATTTTTCAGTGAGTTTGAACCTGATGCTGGTTCTCTGGTCTCTTTCCAATCAGCACTGTCTTCAGTGTCAGGTTCAGAAGAGTCTCCAGTGTCAGGTTCAGAAGAGTCTCCAGTGTCAGGTTCAGAAGAGTCTCCAGTGTCCGGTTCAGAAGAGTCTTCAGTGTCAGGTTCAGAAGAGTCTCCAGTGTCAGGTTCAGAAGAGTCTCCAGTGTCAGGTTCAGAAGAGTCTCCAGTGTCCGGTTCAGAAGAGTCTTCAGTGTCAGGTTCAGAAGAGTCTTCAGTGTCAGGTTCAGTCTTTGGTTGTAAACTGTTCTCTGGATCTGAGTTCCTCGCTGGTTCTGGTCCTCGACAGTCATCTCCATCAGCTTCTGTTTCCATGTGTTCAGTTTGTCTTTGATGAGGCTGTGAGCACTGAGGTTTCTCTTGATCATCTTCACTCTTCACAGGGTCAGGAGTGAAAGTGGAATTAGTGATATCAGCCTCCTCCAGCTCCTGAAGCTGCTCTCCCTCCTGTTCCTGCTTAATGTCTTGGGGGGGCTCTGGGTCCTCCTGGTCCAGACTGGTGCTCCATTCCTGCTGGTCAGGGAGAAGCTCTTCTTTAACCACCACCAGCTGCTGGACGTCTGCAAGAAACAGGAAACACACAGTCAGAACAAACTGTTAAAAATCTAATCACCATTACAATTGGAGACATTTTGCAGCCCTAATTAATGCCTTTGTTTTTATATTTTCACATTATCTTTCTTAGTCCCACCTATTGTGTATTTGTGTTGGCTCAATTCACCTCATGTAGCCCAGCCCCTTTGAAAATGAAATAGGTTGTTTTTTTCTGGCGTAGCACTAGCCGCAATGTAAACAATGAATTGTATTTGAGATCGTTCACAGATACACTAAACCTACAGTATAGAATTAAAATACTCTGTTACAAATTAAATCCTGCATTCAAACCTTATTTAAGTAAAAGTATGCAAGTATTAACAGAACATTTTACGGCACCTTCTTATGTAAAAGTAATGATGGTGCAGTAAAATGTTCCCTGTCAGTGTTTAATTTATGTTGTTTCTTGATGATTTTGTATGTTGCATTTTACTGCTGTACATGTTCAAAGTTGCGCTTGCATAAATTATTATAGATGAGGGAACCTGCTAAAATATTAAAATGTGTGTGTTTTCTATATACAGTACAGTACCAGTCAAACGTTTGGACACCTTCTCATTCAATGTTTTTTGTTTATTTTAATTGGTTTTTGTGTTTACCCTATATACATATTGTAAGGGAAACTTCTGTGTAGCAATGCAGTGGGAGTCACCGACTCAGGAAGGAGACACGGTAGAGCAGGAGCTTCGATGTCAAACGCTGATGATTTATTTGGAGTTACGGCCGGAGAATTCACATCACAAGTCACAGCAGCCACGAGGGGGCACTCTCACAACTGCAAGACTGCTTCGAACACACAGCATGGGACATATTTGAACAGACTGACTTGGAGGAGCACACAGAGCCCATCTTATCCTACATCAAGTTCTGCACAGACACTGTAACTGTGGAAAAATGCTTACGGGTCTACCCAAACAAAAAACCATGGATGACAAGAACGGTGCGGTCTCTCATGAGTTCCCGTGACACAGCCTTCAGGACGGGGGACGCAGCCCAGTACAGCTTGGCAAGGGTGAATCTGGGTAGAAGCATCAAGGCTGCAAAGGAGGACTACAAGGAAAAAGTGGAGGAGAATCTCACTCATAAAAACACACGGTGCGTTTGGCAGGGCCTTCAACAGCTAACACCAAAGACGCCGTCGCCCACCTTGCAGAGGAACTAAACCACTTCTTTGCTCGCTTTGAGGCTAGCAGACCCCCCCACTTTTCTACTCTGCCCCTGTCCCTGCAAACTACCAGCTCCATACCACCTCCCACTCTCAAAGAACATCAACCCTCATCAGTTTGCCTATAGAGCCAACAGATCCACAGATTATGCCATCAACATGGTCCTTCACACAGCTGTGAGCCACCTAGAAGGCCCAGGCAACTATATAAGGATACTGTTTGTCGATTTTAGCTCAGCTTTTAACACCATCATACCTGACATACTAGTGGAAAAACTGTCAAGCGGGTAATAACCGGAAAAGCATGACATGGGACCTTTAAGTTCCTGGGGGTTCACATTTCGGAGAGCCTCAGCTGGACAGCACACACCACTGCAGCAGTTAAGAAGGCCCAGCAGCGACTACACTTCCTGAGGGTGCTTCGGAGAAACCGACTGAACAAGAAGCTGCTGATGTCCTTCTACCGGGCGACCATCGAGAGCGTGCTGTCATACTCCATCTCGGGGTGGTATGCAGGATGCTCAGCTGCGGACAAGAAAGCCCTGCAGAGAGTGATCAGGATGGCAGAGAAAACCATCGGCTGCCCCCTGCCTTCTCTGGAACACATCTCCACCTCCCGCTGCCCCAACAGAGCTAACAAAATAATAAAGGACAGCTCTCACCCAGGTCACAGACTGTTCTCTCTCCTGCCTTCTGGGAGAAGATACAGGAGCTTCAAGTCACGGACAAACAGTTTCGACCCCTGGGCCGTCAGGCTGCTTAACCACCACACATAATGCAATAACCGTAACCATTCTCACACATACACATACTTTTAATGCACTTTATATACTAGTTTTATATCAATATTTGTAACTATTAATTCCCTGTATGATTGTTTATGTTGTCTGTCCTATTGCCGTGTTTTTTAGTGTTATGTATGTGTTTGTATTTTTTGCACACCGGGACAGAGTTGCACTCTGAATCTCGTTATACTCTGTGTATAATGACAATACATATATATACAGAATATATTATAAATACATGTTGGCAATAATTGATTGATGAGATTTTACATTAATTTGTATTAATGTTTTAATTACTTAATGACCTTTGTACTAGTTCAAGTAACATTTTAGATGTGTTTAACTTATTATTGAACATATTTTGTTGGAGCTATATATCTCTTTATATTATTTAATAGTTTAACATTTATGTTCTTGCTGTTTTATAGTGTTTATTGTAAATGTATTCTTAGTTAGTCTCATAAGTAGTTTCTATGCTTTTATTTTGAAGGCATGTTTTGGGCACTGGGTGATTAGAGCACCTGGTGTACTTGTATATATTTGAGACAGGTGGGAGCCAGAGCACTAGTAGGCAAACGGTTTTTTATCAGGGTGTTTCAAGCCAGCAAAAAGGAAGCCATTGGAAAGGCTTAAGGTAGTGATGGCGAGATGAAGCCTTATGAAGCTTTGAAGCTTTCCAGCCAATTGGTTCGCAAAAGGGTTCATCTCATGAGGCTTCATCATGGGCTTCATTTGAACAATGTAAAACAGGCAGGTTGGACATCTCAACAGTGTGCTCCATCATCTCATACCGAGTTCCCATTGAGTAAAGCCTTAGAATAACTCTAAACAACGAACATAAAATCATATTTTCATGTTAACAATATTGTATTTATTCTAGTTGAATGATTGTGATTGAAAAGCCTAAGGAGGCTGGTAAACATTGCAAAGAGGGATTTGTATTCCTTAATAATATTCATAAACTTAAGTATGTTGTAGCCTGAGAAAGGCTAAACCATATCAAAGAATACATTTATTAACTAGGCTACATTATCTCATAGCTGTAGCTTTTATAAACAACAAAAAATAAGTATTGTTCAGTCGTTGAACCAGGGACCCTGCGGTCATGAGTCAACTGCTTTCCAGCTGAGCCACAGCATGTAGGCCTACACTAAAGCTCCCTGAAACACTGCAAGATATGTATTCCTGTATTTATTGATGTTTTTATTCCTACATTTATTTATGCTTGCATCTATTTATACTTATGACATGTTCCGACCTCTATAAGTGACGGCCCGTCCACACAGCGGCGTGCGTTGAAGCTTCCAACGCTTCTGCCCATTCACTTTGAATGGGGTGACGTCACTTTTAGCTGAACTGCATTTTGGGAAGCGACGTGGAGCGTTGCTGGCGTAGCTGGCGTCAAAAGTTGAGCAATGTTCAACTTTTGACGCCTCGATGGAGGCGTCAGCCAATGAAATCCCGTTTATGCACATCTGCCAGTACAAGTGCACTAGCCAATCAAACCGCGTGTATGCTGGGAGAGACTACGCAGGTCATTTCCTCATATTCAAAAAAATGGAGGGACAATTGATTATAGCGGTAGAGAATCACCCGGTGCTGTATGATCAGTCTCTGTTCATCTACCGGGATACAAACCGGAGGAGCGAGGCATGGAGGGAGGTGGCAGAGACAGTGGGTGAAACTGGTAGGTTTTCGCCTGTTTGGGGATTTTATATCCAGTTTACTTCGTTTTAACTTTGCTATTGCTTTGTATGTCGGGGGCGGGAGATTCATGTGATTGGTTGTTGGTCGCGTTGCTCGCATAAAATCCCCAAGCTTCAGACACGCCCAGGGGCGGATCTACCGGGGTGGCATGGGGTGGCAGCTGCCACCCTAAAACACATCCTTGCCACCCCAGCTGCCACCCCAGTTGGCAGCTTTGTTTTGAAATAAAAGTTGTGGCTCATCGGACATTTATGAGAAAAAATCTCTAATGTCCGAGTGCAAGTGAATGCACCACAAGACGCGAGCCAGTTACCCCCCTTCCTGGCGCGAGCTGAAATGTGATTGGCGGCGATTTAATTTTGAACGGGACAGAACAAATAGAGAAGCATTCGGTGAAGTAGACCGGAATGTAGAAGGATTGAGGTAAGACTGATCAACTACGTCTCCTGTGAAATAAGTGTAGAACAAAGCTAATGTTTTCCAGTTACAGAAAAGAGAGAAGTTAGATATGTCCATGTGAATCATAACGTTAATGCTGATATTGAAACAATACAAATCCGGTTGAGTAACGCTATTATCAGTAACTCTTTACTTACTGTACAGTGTGCGTGGAACGTTAGCTAGGTTTTTGTTTAAAAAAATGTCATGCATGAAATATTTTTATATTATCAATCATTTAGCAAGATGTACGACCTGATCAAGGCTAAACGATTCTGCTCTTCAATAATAACTTTGAATCTTATTTCAGGAATCTGTTTGGATTGCAAGCAAAGATTGGGCCACAAGCTAGAGTTTGAAGCACACAGTAAGTGGGAAAACAACAAGCATTTGCTCAAACAGCATTTTAATTTGAACACCATTATTAATAATGATTACTGGTAATATAAAAGAAAACAACGTAATAAATGGACTTTGAATCTTATAGAAATGAAGAGGAAACGTGGCATTGCAAGTTTTTTGTCACCAAAGAGGATAGAAAGTGAGGCTGAGCAACAGGGAAGTGACAAGGTAAATGACCAGGGACATGAGGAGGTGGAAGGAGATGAAGAACAGCAACAGGAAAGTGTCAGTGATGAGATAGAAGGCAAAGATGAACAGGGACAGGAGGAGGAAGGAGAACACAACAGAGAAGAAGAGACGGAAGAGGGAGAGCATCACATAGACAAGGTGCAAGAGGGAGAGAGCGAGAGACAACAAGACGGCATGCAGAGCTCAGACAGTGAGGGGGAAAGGAATATTCCTAAGCCCTTGCAACCAACGGCCAGTCGAGTTGGTCCACATGGTATGAAAATTGTTAATACAAAGTATAATGCATCTGAATAAGATGCAAAAATCACACTAAAGGACATTTTGCAAAACAGTTTATTTAAGAGACAGGGCTAGCCTCAGTCTAATAAATATATTATTAATTCAAAAAAAGTATGTTTGCTTTCCTTAGATAGTTTTGAGTATGAGGAAAAGGGTAGATTGTGAGTATTTTGTGTACAATGTATTTTAGACCTATTATAGCAGCTGAGGTTGAAATTCAAAAATTACCCAAAACAATACACACCCAGGCCAAAATGTTGTGCTGCACACATTAACACAGCCAGTAGGTTAAACACATATTGAATAAATGACAGCTCCAAACTGTGTTATAATTAGTTGATTATAATGTGTAATCAGTTAAGCTCTATTACAGTTTGAATATGTTTTACTCCCATTTTCTAGACATATCCAAGTCCAGGTGTGAGGAGCCAGCTCAGCCGACACGGGAGAGTTTCCCCAAGACCCTTCAGGGAGGAGCCAGAAGAAGCTTCAGAACGGACTGGTACAAAACTCATTCATGGCTTGAGTACTCACAGTCCAATGATTCAGCGTATTGTTTCCCCTGTAGACATTTCTCTTTACCTGATGCCCCCAAGACCGTTTTCACCTCAATTGACGGGTATCGTAACTGGAAAAAGGCCACAATGAAAGACAGTGGTTTCTGTTATCATGCCCGATCTGAAAGCCATGTAAATACAATGTTTGCATGGGGAGAAAACAAGAAACTAAACTAAAAATGCAACATACACCAGTAAAACTATCCAAAACGAGATACTGGAATGTTTGGCTGCATTGATTGAATTGATTGATTGAAAAGTGTATTAACAGCTTGTATATTGGGTACAGTACAGTACAGCTCAAAACATACAATTGTTAAGGGGATGCAGACCAGAGAAAGACTTTCGTCTTGTTTACATCAGGGTCCCCCATTTCCAATTCATCATGTCATTTAAGACATATAAGACATATTTGACATACAGATGGCTTATTTACAATTTACATACAGGTGGTTTTTTACATACAGATTGCTTGTTTACAATTTTCATTTTAGATTTCGTTCTAATACATCCTAACCGGACATTTAAGACATACCAAGTCTACAGATATACAGTTAGTAACAGAGTCTAAAATGCGAGTATATACATAGATGGGGGGGGGGGAAGCTGTCCATTGAACGAAAGGTTGAGATTTGTACCATTACCGGGGCCAGTTTTGCAATGCTCTCCCCCGAAGGTGCTCTTTAAGAGAGGTTTTGAAGGTAAGTATAGTTTTACTTTCCTTTACAGTTGTGGGAAGAGCGTTCCACCTTGATGTGGCATCATTGCGAAACGTGTATTCCCCCTTTTTTTGTGCCAAATCTGGGTTTCACATGATTTGTGGAGCTCCCTCTGGTGTTATGATCATGGTATTCCTTGACCTTTGGGAAGAATTTTGACATGTACATGGGTACCATAGAGGTGTAGTGGATCTTGTAGACCAGGCCCATTGCAAGTAGCTGTACTCTGTCGTCTACTCTAAGCCATCCTAGGTTGTCAAAGTGGGCAGAGGTGAGGTGGGTTCTAGATGAAAGGTCAAGCAGTAGTCTGACTAGTTTATTTTGCGATGTTTGAAGTTTTATTTTTAGCGCCTTGGAGGTGCTATGGTACCATGACGTGCAAGCATAGTCATAGTACCCTTGAATGAGTGCTCCAGCCAGAGTCTTCAGGGTAGGGCTGTGCAATTAATCGTATTTTAATCGCGATTACGATTATGGCTTGCGACGATTATGAAAACAGCATAATTGACAAAATACGATTATTTTGCTGGGTGCGCTTTCGCCCCTCCCTAAAAGCCCACTCGGCCACGTGGGAGTGACATGTGTTGTGAGTGTTCAGCGCGAGCGAAGATGTCAGAACAAGAGCAGCAACTCGTTAAAAAGAAGGGTAAAACTATTTCCACTATTTGCAAGTAGCCTACTTTGTCATTACATTCCACATCGCTAAAGATATGTGCCCAGTTAGCACTGTTAGCAACCAGGGCTTTAAGCAACTTGTCAACACGTTGGACAAGCGTTACGCGATGCCGTCTCGGTATTATTTCAGCAGGTATGCGCTGCCTGCGCTATGTGACAAATGCCGTGGGGAAGTTGAGAGAGATGTGGCTTCAGCTGACTACTTTGCTACCACAACAGACCTATGGTCTAGCCCAGGGGTGCCCAACCAGTCGATCGCGAGATGTGTCTAAAAATAGAACAACAATATTCTGTTTTATCGTTAATGTCCTGTAACATAATCTTCCTGTGTCAGAATAATGCACTTGAACGCATCAAAGCTTTGTGATTGGCCGACGTCACCCCATGTGTTGGGGCGTGGCTGAGGGTCTTCAGTACAGGTGGCAATATCGTCACCTGCCTGCGCTCATCTCTGAAACCAGACCATGTAAACAGGCTGGTGTTTCTTGCAAAAAATCTTTAAGATATGACATGAGCAGTCCTACCAGCATTTGCCATGGTGGCCTAAACATTTTTATTTGGTCTTAAATTGTAGTTCAACATTTATTTCCTGTTACTTCTGGACCATGACGGTTGGCCAGCCTTCAACGTTTAACTGAGTGGAATATGTTGAATATGTTTTACCAACATGTTGGCTATATGTTAAGGAGTGTTCAGTAGGTTGTGACAGTGCACTGCAACATGTTTGATTTCATTTATTTTGGTCTAATTTATTTTTATTTATCATATTAATAATATATGTTTAGTATGGTTTTGGAAGTGCGCTCCAACATATTTGTTGATCTTGTTTATTGGTAACATATTATTTGTTTTAAAGTTCAATAAATGGTCAATGAATAATCGTCAAAATAATCGTGATATCAATTATTGACCAAATAATCGTGATTATGATTTTTGCCATAATCGCACAGCCCTACTTCAGGGTGTTCTTGTTTACCAGAGAGGAGATCCGGTATAGGAATCTAGTTCTTTGATTGACTTTTTTTATTACATTGGATGCCATTTTGTCACAGGAGAGGTTTGCCTCAAGAATAGATCCTAGGTATGTAATTTCCTTCTTACTTGTGACAATAATGTCGCCCACTGCAACTGAGAAGTCGTCAGATTTGCTGAGATTATGTTTTGAACCGAAGAGAATGGGCTCTGTTTTACCCAGGTGTAATGATAATTTATTATCGGCGAGCCAGGTGCAGATTCTGCCGAGCTCGGAGCTGAGGGTTTTTTCAACCTGCAACCCGTTCCTGTCAGAGACCAGCAGGGCTGAGTCGTCCGCGAACAGGAACAAGTTGCAGTCACATGCTGATGACATGTCATTTACATAAATTAGGAACAGTAACGGACCTAATATGCTTCCTTGTGGAACACCACAGCTCACTGGGAGGGGGGGGGGGGGACAGAGTACCGTTTACCTCCACCATCTGTTCTCTCCCCTCCAGGTAGGATTGCATCCAGCTCACCGATAGTTTCTCAAAACCAATTGCTTTTAGCTTGTCAATCAGAATGGGGTGATTGACAGTGTCGAAAGCCTTTTGTAGGTCCAGCATCACCATGCCGCAGTACTTGCCCTCGTCCACCTCTTGTTTGATGTGGTCGCTCAAATAAAGAAAGCATGTGTCAGTGGAGTGGGATGTTCTAAAGCCAGATTGAAATTCATAGATTAGTTTATTTTCCGCGAGGTACTTTTCGACCTGTTCATATACTATTTTTTCCATGACTTTCGAGATGGAGGTAAGTATAGAAACAGGGCGGTAGTTGCCTGGGTCCAATTTGCTGCCCTTTTTGTGCAGGGGGGTTACTCTTGCAATTTTGAAGTCTTTGGGTACTTTTCCCTGTTTTATGGAGAGGTTAATTATGTGAGCTATGACTGGTGAGATGGCGGTTGCTGAGTCTCTGAGGAATTTGGAGGGGATATTGTCGTGGCCAGTGGCCTTGTTAGGTTGGAGGGCGCTCAGTTTAATGAGTACCTCTGCTGTTGTTACCCTTGCTAGACTGAAATCATCTTTGCGTACCCCTAGGTTTTTGTAGTAGGTCATGATGTGATCTACTCCAAAAAGCCCTGAGTGGGAGGGTAATTTATTTACAAGAGTTGTGGCTACACTGTATGTTTGTGAAAAAAATGTTCAAGTACTTGGCCACATCCAGTTTGTCTGTGATGAGCCTGTTATCTGTCTTTATGTTTAAGTTAGAAAATCTCGTTTTGAGTTTTTTACTGCAGCCAAGCTGGTTATTGAGTAATTTCCAAAGTTCACGGGGTTTATTTTTGTTTTCCTCAGTTTTGACATTGATGAAATTCTTTTTGGCAGTTTTGATCATGGTTAAGGAAGAAATAATTCAAGAGGTTAAAAAGAGCAGGCAGTTTGCAGTTATTGTAGACGAAACTAAAGATCTTCAGAAAAAAGAGCAAATTTCATTTGTTCTGAGATACTATTACAATGGTGTTGTTCACGAGAGCTTTCTGGAGTTTGATGTGGCAGAAGGCCTGGATGCTGCTGCGTTAAGTGGTAAGATTATTTGTTTTCTTGAGAAACATGGGCTGGAGTATAAAGAAAACCTTGTCGGTCAGGGCTACGATGGCGCTGCAGTGATGAGCGGGGCACATGCTGGTGTTCAAGCGAAAATAAAAGAAGTAGCCAAAAATGCTTTCTATGTGCATTGCAGTGCACACTGCCTAAACTTAGTCATAGTAGACTCTGTCAAAAGTGTAACAGATGCGGGAAACTTCTTCTCATTGATGGAATGATTGTATGTGTTCATATCTGGGTCTTATGTACACAACAAATGGCTGGAAGTGCAGCGGGAGATGTTTGACGGTGCACCAAGGGAACTCCAAAGGCTTAGTGATACACGTTGGGCCTGCAGACATGTAGCATGTCGCAATGTTATGGATAGGTTACCTGCAATAGTACAGCTGCTTGAAGAGATTTCCTCTGAGAACCATCCACATAGAGCTGTTGAAGCCAGGGGGATATTGGTTCAGATTGATCTGAATTTTGTTGGATGCCTTGTACTGTTCCGAAAGGTCTTGAGTGACTCTAAATTTTTGTCAGATATGCTCCAGTCCAAAACATTGGACTTGGCTAAGGCCGTGGAACTAGTTGAAGCACTTAAAGTGACACTGGTACAATATCGCAGTGAAGCCTCCTTTGATGAAGTGTGGAGTGAAGCACTTGTTTTATGTGAAAGAAGTAGCATTGAAACAACTCAGCGAAAGCCAAAGAGGTCAAGACAGACAACAAGGACCCTTCAAGATAGTGTCATCCCTTCCACTTTGGGACAGCATGTAGTTCCAGATGGCAAACACTCTTTTTGCGTCAATGTGTACTATCCAGTTATGGATAACATGATTGGAGAAATAGAAAGACGCTTTTCTCACACAAATTGCAACATAATGCAAGGTATCCAGGCGCTAAATCCATCAAGTGCTACTTTTTTGAGTGAGGAGGCTATTCTTTTATTGGCTAATGCCTATGATTCTAATATTGAGGATCTTAAACACGAATTACATCAGACGAGGAGAGTACTAGAAAGAAAAAATAAGGAAAAGGGGAGTCCTACCACTCTGATGGAGTTTGCTCAATTTTGACCCATACAAGGATGTTTTTTACGAGTTGTCCAGATTGTGTAAAATAGCAGTAGTTTTACCGGTGAGCAGTGCATCCTGTGAAAGAAGTTTTTCAACTCTTAGGATCATTAAGAGTTATTTGAGGTCTACAATGACAGAAAAGAGACTGTCAAGTGTGGCTG